GAACGTTTAGCACCAAGAAATCTGACCTCCAACCGATCAACATCAGCAAAGATAAGATCCGTATCGCCTCCTGGAACGTGCGAACGTTAAACGGAGACGGCAAGCTGGACGACGTCATCTTTACAGCTAGGTGGTGCTATCTGGACATCTTTGTGATCTCAGAAACTCACATCCCCTACCAGGAAGAAGATCGCCTTTAAAATGGATGGCAGCTTCACTGGTCTAGAAACCAGGATTCCATATGCGAGACAGGAGTGGCGGTGTTACTTTGGCCTCATGGCCTCGAACAGTGAATGCTTTGGTCATAGGATGGTGCATGAACTACCAGATTCTTGTTTGCCCTCTTGCAACAAAACACGTGAGGTCAGCGTTGTTGTCGTGTATACGCAGATCAATGTCGCGGACGATGAAAGGAAGGACGAGTTCTGCGTATGTTTAAACACAGTTCGCGGTTCTCTGATATGAACGCGCAGGTCAGCAGGAATAATTCCAAATGGCATCATGCGATCGACCAATATGGCGAATGGCTTCGGGACGCTAAATGACAACGGTCGACGGTTGTAAGACTTTGTCCGGTCGTACGGATTCCGATACGATAAGTCAACCGTCAAATCTATCAGTTGACGTGGTCAGCGCCAGATGATCACTTCAGAACCCATCTTGACGACATGTTCGTCATCAGTAAGTGACGAAATACCCTTCACAACACCTGAGTAGGGTGCGGAGCTGACACTGGCTCAAATCACTTCATGGTGGTCGCAGAGCTTCATCTCTAATGGACCAAGTCCCGGAAAACAGAACGGAATGGGGTGAACGCCGGATTCCAAATCAGCAAGTTAAAAGATCCAGAAACATGCGTGGCGTTCCAAGACAAGGTCAACAGCAGATTCGCTCTTGTAAAGGACATGATATATCATAATGAGAGTTACCCTACGAATATCGTCGTTGTTGAAGGAAATATCCTCAGCCTAAGCGAAAAGACCAAGAACCCTTGATCCTCGGCAGAAGTCCTCACTCTTCACCAAAGAAGAAGCGCGGCGTTTCTGTAAAATAAGTTCTTATATAACTCTAAAGAGACGAGGAAGCGAGAGTATCGACATCTCGTGAAAGCAATCAACAGGAATTAACGCTGCAAGAAGTGACAGTGGATCGAACTCTAAGCGCAGAACCTGCAACATGCTGCGTCGAAGAAGGCATGGAAGACGCTGTACTGACAGATGAACATCATCACAAATAGCGGCAAACCGACAATCCTTAACTCATCTGATTCGCAGCAAATTCAGCAAGTCTCTTCCAGATTCAAACAGCCGTCGGAGGAGATCAACTGTACAGTTTCGAGTTAAGAGCCCATTAACCAGGCTGCTCCAGCTCATGACCTAGAATAAAGTTCGAAAACCGGGAAGAACTGGAAACTGATTTCAATGTTCCATCAAAGGATGAAACCCAAAATGCCATGCCTCTCAGCCGAAGTTCGAAATTCGGCAGGCACTTCAGGGTAGGCGCGGAAACCCTGAACTGCCAGGCGAAATCTCACTGAACTAGATCCATCTGGTTTTTGACAACATCCGGTGGAAGTCCAGCATCTCTGAGAATCGGAAGCATGGTGTGATTAAACCCACATTCAAATGAAGCAATCATTCTGACTGTACCAATTAAATGAGAATCATGATTCTGCCTGTGCTGGAAAATTATTCACACGAATCTTGCCCGAAGAATGCAGTTCTCTTCAATGAAATAAAATTTAGTTTCGAACTTGACTCCAGTTCATGGATAATATCGCCATACTAAAGAAAATAATTTAGAGAGAAGGAGCTTCCAACTGTTAGTAGCTGTGAGGGGCACACTTGCTTCCAACGAAGAGCATACCTTTGCCGCAGTAAGCAACATCATTTGAATCATTTTAAGAAGCCAAAACGTTAGACACTGTTAATTTGGGTAGTCGGTCCTTGACCATGATACCAGAATACCAATGACAACAGAATTGGTATCACAAGGCACGAAGGAAGGGTATAGGGCGCAGAATGGCCTCCGTCGTATCAGCCTGAAAACGTTAGATTCATTCTCATATGCGAGGTGCTGATATTCACTTTATCGCAACATCGCCTCTGTTGCAGTATCAAGGGCTGTAGTATCAATTAAGTAAACCAATGGATTTTTATGACCCCATCCTGGTGGTGCTGTGCACGGTTTCTGCACTTTCGACGACTTATATACATTTGCAATAATTGTGTCGCAGAGCTTGATGGCGATAGAGTGCGACAGGGAATGAATTGATTTCTTAAGCAGATACTCTATTCAAGCCGCAAAGCCATATTCAGGCTAATAGTTTGCGGTGATTAGGAGAATGCATCCAACGGCGCCTTGTTTTTAGAATACATATCCACGATGCTCTCATTTTATCAGCTCTGGAACAGTTTCGCGATGTAATTGCGCTTGTATGTCAGGCTATTTGATCAGCGAGGATGGACATCGTGAGCTGGTCCTGACAATGGCCATTGGTTGCTCTTTCAACCGCAGTATTTTTTAGATAACGTTATTGACTGGGCTTTCACAAGTTACTGCGAAAATAACGTGGGAGACGTCATCTTGTCCATTTCCAATTATGTGTAAGAAATATAACGCGATATCATCTTGAGTCAAATCCTGGAGTGCATAATTGTTTGCACATCTTACTTTTCGCAAAATACGGTAGTCACCTGATATTTATTGTGGTCCTGTTTGGACCAGTCGTTAATGTAATTAGCCATGGAATTCGATAAAATTTTGCGTATTTGTCGCTGTAAAGCCTATAAATCTTCATATTGTCCAGTGTTTAAAACATATATGTATATATCTAATTTACACAGCATAATTGCACCTTCCCCTTTCCTAAAGTGGCTTAAGGGATCCCCTATGTGGCTATGCCCCGTGGTATTATGATATTTGCATTGCACTGATGCAAAACCACACCACTGCTTTGGATCGAATCAGAGCATGTTCATTAATTCAGACGAGGTCAGACCAGTTAACTCAACCACACGTTGTTAGTAAATAGCAAATTACCGATAAATGTCGTAATTATGGTAAGCTTGTTAATGCTCTGCGTCAGCTTACTCGAAATATTCTCACTTAGAGCACTTGGTCAACGTCTTTAATGCTAATGGCTGACTGAATTATATCATTGAATTTGAGACGTAAACGTTTACTGTTAGCCCAGATTATTAGTTACATATGTATAGATAATTATTTCGAGGACACCATAGTGCATGGCTAGTAAAGCAGTTTGATGATCAGCATATTTGCGTATGGAAACATGATGCCCCAGCCGAATTATGAGTTTATATGCATAGACATGCAAAGCATGAACCAAGTCTTCCTTTGGCGTCGGCGGAAATAGTGGTTATTTGTTTGATGGTGAAATAGCATACATTCGTATTCTCTCCATAAATCCGACTTGTAACCACATGCCCCCTCCCCTCATGATATATAGACTTGACGAAATTACTGTCTCATGTGAGAGCGAAGTTTTTACTTTTGCTTCTTATCGTACTATTCATTTATTTTCTAAGTAATTTGTTATACATAATGAAATTAGAGTAAACGAGTGTTTATTCTACTTTCTTTCTCATGTTCCAACGACCTAAAGGAATGCCGATTTTCGAAAACGAATTGATGATATGCTTATTTACTTCTGAGTCCTGATAATGCTACGGTCTACGTAGCGAAACGGTCGGCATTAAATTGTACTATCTGCAGTGTTTGGTGCCTTGAACCATGAATTGTTCAAATACTTATCTTCGAATTAATGAAATCTCGCCTGCTTTTCTTTAGTTACCGCTTCATCTGACACTTTCTTTCTCTTCTTTCGCCTTCATCCTTTATTCTCGTCCTCTTCATTGTTTTTGACTCTCTCTTTTTCGCCTCCTCTTCTATTTCCTTTCCTTTTCTGATTCCCTTCGCACCATCTTTCTACCCTCTTCGTTTCTTTTCCATTTCCTCCCTTAAGAATTCTTGAGAATTCTGTTAATCGTTTCAGTTTTTCATAATTCTTTTCATCGTTTTCATTCTCCTTGTTAATCTCATTTTCCTTCGCTCTTTTTCCATCTTCCTTTCATTTTTGTGTTTTTCGTCACCTTCCTCACTCCGTCTGTACCTTCTAATCTTCATCTTCGCAGTATCATTTACTTGACAGTTCTCGTTTTCCTTATCCGTATTCATATCTGTCTCTTCTTTCTTCTCCTTCTCCGTCTAATATTCTTATCTTTTCCCGTCTTTCTTCTTCCTTTGCCTAATTTTACCCTTTTTTATTTATTATTCCATCCTTTTTTCCTCCTCTGTTTTTATTTTTTGTTCATTAATCTCGTCTTTTTCTGTTTTTCATTTAACTTCTAACTTAATAGGAAATAGAAAACTGCTGTTATCTGCGTAAATGCATTAATGTATGTAGAAATTAAGCATGTAGCAAAAGTTATATTTATTCTATTTATATTATTTGAGTCCTCAAATACGTCATCTTTCGCTCGAACACGCATACCTAATAACACGCATAATACAGACGTCTGTAATCAAGGTCTCCAATGAAAGATTAGTCAGATGCTAGTGCCCCTGTCCACGGGATTTGATTGTTTCTTACGTATGGTGCTCGGAATATTCAGAATCAGAGATATGCGGATTGCTCACTTTGCTTAACGTTCGTTACCTTTTCAGGAAATCTCAATGTTTTCCAGTAGAGAACTGTTCAGGGTTTATCAGCGGCTTCCCCCTTTACCACAGACGGTCTTCGCGGAAGTACAAAAACTTCTGCATTCTCAGGCACCGCTGTGCGATAATTTCCAGCATAAGATCACTACTCACTATAGCGTCGTCCCTCGAGAAGGTCAACCTCGATGGAAAGGTTTGCCTCGTAGGTTGCTCATCGTTGTGAAGATATTGACTGATTGCTTTAGGGGTCGATATGAAGAGGGAATGCGACTCGTTTGACGTAGTCATCGTTGGTGGTGGACCTGCCGGCTTTGCAACGGCCATCAGGCTTCGTCAGCTAAGTGCACAGCATAGCTACGATCTGCGAGTCTGTTTGGTGGAGAAAGCTGCTGAAATTGGAGGCCATATCTTGTCCGGTGCTGTCATCAAGACGGATGCGTTGGATGAATTAATCCCTAATTGGAAGGATTTGAACGTAACACCTTGTATGGCTTCAGTTGATAGTTTAGTTTTCCTGCTTAGACCCCAGTATTCCAAAAGGTTACCAAAGAAAGGGTGTCCATACTAACGAAGCGTGGACGGATTCCTGTACCGAACATGCCAGGTATTTATAAAGTATGCCTTATCCAGATTATCGTTGCGGTATGTTTTAGGGTCACCTTTGGAAAATAGAGGCAACTACATCGTCAGGCTCGGTAACTTTGTTCACTGGCTTTCCCAACAGGCCGAAGAATTAGGTGTAGAAGTATATCCTGGTTTTGGTGCCTCGGAAGTGAGTTTTGGCCATTGCCGTTATCTGATCTCTTCTAAATCTAATAGGTACTGTTTGATGCCGATGGTAGCGTCAAAGGAATTGCCACTAATGACGTCGGTGTTGCAAAAGATGGTTTTCCTAAGGTAAGATTGTAAGGTTGTAGAGATGAATGTGTTACAAAAAAATTTCTGAATGACTGATTTACTCAGTTTGAGTTCGTTCTTCAATTTCTAGCAGTATAATAAGCCCAGAAACAAATTGGTGCTACATACTAATAATTTCATGTCACCTTCGCGAAGGACGCTCAGCAACTCAAATGTTATCTCTGATGCGATGATAAGAATTGTGAAAAACTGGTATATTCTTTGCCTATATGAAAGGCTTACCGTGAGCCCTAAAATAAGTCGCTGAATGAAATTGTAATTCGGGGTTAACAGATTGCCG